AAAAACAGTGCAGGCGAAAACTAACAAGAATACTCTATATAGATATAATGAGGATGAATATCCTATAATAATTTGCGCCAATCTTAATACAATGAAAAGCGAAATAAAATGCGCTTATAGAATAAATTTTAGCAAACCAAACAACATTGGCTCACTCTTGGGATTCTCCTCGAATCGTGTAATAGAGCCGCGACGATGGTATGAATCAGACGCGCGGATTAAGATTAACAACGTGAATATTATTCGTATTGAATGCAACATTGTCAGTGGTGCGTGCAGCAACGGTACGCGCGTACATACGATACATGAATTCTCGCCTAGAGTGGCACCAGGTTATAAAATATGGGAAACGCCGGCACATATCATTTACCTTTCAATCATCGCACGGAGCATTACGGATTTAACGGTGCGTGTTGTGGATCAAGAAGGACGATCGCTTGATTTTCGAGGAGAAGAGATTACCGTCAGGTTGCACATACGACGGCGACGATATTAGGTGAAATCTATGAGATGCTTGTGGTGAATCAAGTGGATCAACAGGAGAAACAAGTGGGAAATAAATTTTTTACGAGACGCGCAATCAGCAGTACAAAATCCTCCGCTCGAAAGAAACTCAATGCATTGAACGTAGAGTTTTTGAAATCTCTGGAATTCATCGTACGGAATCATTGAAGAAAAAAAAGATATGACTGACATTTTGAACATTGAAGGTGAGCCGATATTTGACGATCGCATGGTCAAGATTGAATCTCACACGTACAACCCATACGCCAACACAACATTAGGATATAGCGATGAGATAAGAATACCCATACAACAGTAGGATTTATACACATTGCCATGCGAGAGTTATCTTCATGTTGAGGGAAAAATAATTGCACAAGCGACAGCCGAAAATGTGGCTATAACATTAGGAAATAATTGTNTAATTGCGTCGCATTCATGTTTGATGAGATTCTTTATGAATTGGATGGTGTAGAGATTGATAGCAACAGAAACGTTGGAATAACTTCCACGCTCAAGAATTATGTATCTTTATCTTCTTACAAAATTGCCTGCATGAGAAATGCTGCGTGGGATACGATCAACGGTCTTTCGACAGATGGATACTTCAACTTTTGAGTACCGCTCAGCATGTTGCTAAGATTTTGTGAAGATTATAGGCGTATAGTGATTAATGCGCCCCACGAATTTATTCTCATACAATCGCGCAGTGACAACAACTGTCTACGTGGATCATCGGCGTTGGAGCCTAAGGTGGAGCTATTCAAGATACAACGGAGAATGCCTCAAGTACTTTTGAACGATATCAATAAGCTCTCCCTGTTGAGAACCTTCGAGAACGGCCGATACCTGAGCATGAGTTTCCGCTCGTGGGACCTGTATGAGTTTCCTCTGCTACAAAACACGACCAAACACGTGTGGCCTGTCAAAACTGCCACTAATTTGGAAAAACCGCAATATGTTATTTTTGCACAACAGACTGGCCGGAAGAATGTCATGGCGGAAAATATAACTCAATT